GGGTATATACTCAATTTCAACAATGGTGCCCGGGCACCATGGAGCACCAAACAAATTTACTATATATATATATATATATATATATATATATACATATATATATATATATAAAATAAGCCTAAAGAAAGCAAAAAGGGGTGTCATAGGACACACGTCACTCGTTCACCTATCTCGCACATAGCACGTTATACACTCCATTCCATTCTACTCTGTTACACATTTAATTGTATATGTTTGTACTCTAAATAGAAGACTTGATCATACGATTATGAATACGAGAGGCATGTATCTCTAATGAAATAGGAGTACGTGTTATTTCAAGCTCTTGAAAGAGAAAAAACATAATAGTGTGACATATGGTTGGATCTAATATAGGAAAACTTGATCTCTTCAGCGTCAATTAGCATACACTCGCTTGCTCCACTTTTTCCTATACGTGTGAGGCACGATTAAGGTGCGATAGTCTTATCATGACTGATAAATACTATTTCATATAGAATCTATACTATTCAAAATAGGACAATATCTTATTGAGAAAAGTGGTATTATGGAGAATATACTTTCACAAGAAAGCATCTAAAGGTGCATCTTAATGTTCAATGGTTAAAAGAAGGTATCATCAAGATTCCGCGCCAAGATCTACATAACAAACATAAGGAAAACAAAGAGGGGCATCACAAATCACACATAACCCATTCACCTATTTTACACACTACACATATTTGATTATTTGTAGTTCGACAAATAGCATAAGAGAAGTCCCTATATTTAAAAAGCTGTTTTGGTTATTTTTGCCCACTTCTACCTCCTTTCTCTTTCATGTTTCTTCCTTTCCCCTTGAATATCAATGGCCTTTAGATAGTGACATTGCTGATGACGAATTTATTGCATCTCCTATGGTGGCTTGTGTTTGAACAAATTCTAAACTGAGCTAGTGGCCAACAAAGATGAAGTGTAAATGGACTATAGGTGTAGCAAGTGAACTTCGTAGTAGAGGGGATCAATCATTGATAGTCGCCTACCATGAGGCATGGACGGCCTGGAAAACCAAATGAGATAAGTAATTTATATGAGTTCAGATCATGCAAAGCACACTTCTTGTGAAAATTATGTTTCATGAAATCATTATCCCCCCAAAAAAATAATGCTAGATGACTCACACATTGTGAATTCCTAATAGCAACGTATTCCATATCATTTTTCATTTTCTAGATTGTACAACTATGTATTATGAAAAACTGGGTTTCACTTTTTTTTTTTGAAAGATGACTTTCACATCTTATAGCTTCTAGTTCATTTTCTAGATTCTACAATTATAATTCTCAGAATCTGAGTGAAAATTTAGGGCTTATTTGGAGAGATTCTAAGAAGAAGATGGTTGATAGCTAGCTTATGATAATCTAGAAAAGCTGGGTTTCTTAACTTCTACTATATCTTCTAGGAGATTGATTCGGGTCGGCCTCCTGATCCATACTGAAAAATCGGGCGCCCTCCCCCCACACGCTACTACTGCTGCGCCAAAGGCAGCAGAGGCTCTACATGCTCTGTCCTTTACAACGTGTCTTTTCTCCACTTTGGCTATATATTCTTCCACATGTAACCAATAGCCTCTTTAAGAAACTTTAAAATATTTGTTCTCATCTAGTATTTATATGATCTATCATCCGATTTTATCGTTATATTCATTGTAATTAAATCTTTCCAATAAAACCTTACATGATTATATTCTAATAGAAAAATATTTAGCTCTTTTTTCAATGGATTTTTTTTATATATGTTGCATGTGGTTTTACTCGGATGTTCCGACTAGTATTTTAGGATGTTTCATTAGTTGATTGCAAATGTTGCACGTGGTGTTCTTCGAATGTTTTAGTAGTCACAAAAAAAAACAACAATATCAAGTGTTTGCAAATATATTATATGTTTCATTCGTTAGGACTCAATGTTTCATACAATGGTTGTTGATGTTGCAATCAGTATTTTCTAATGTTGCACCTTCCTAAACATTTTATAAAGTTAATTGGAACATTTGATTAAGCATGGTGAAACATATAAGTTTTTTTCTCATCAAAATATAATTGTGTAAGATCTTATTTTTTAAAGATTTAATTGCAAGGAGTACAATGGTGTAATCGATTCGTAAATATGATTTTAATTTAGATGAAAAAAATCATTTAAAGAGGCGGGGGCATATTAATTATATAAAGGATGGGGTGCACCGTGCAGCCATGCATGTGTAGAGGACTCCTGCATGCATAGCATGGGAAAAGAAGATGTGCAACAGAGACATAAACAAACATGCAGCAGGAGCAATGTATGCAGTAGAGAAAAAAAAAGAAACGAGGAGCAGGAGTAACGCGGTAGAGTGCGCTAATTTTCTCTTATAAATCGGGCACCCGATTTGTAGTCCCTTCCTAGCTTCTAATTTATTTCCTAGATTCTACCACTATAGCTTTTGAAAAATTGGAACCAAAGCTAAACTGTTTGGGTGGGGGGGGAAGCTTATGATTATGGGAGAAGCTGTAGCCCCCAAACAGACCCTTAGACTGTTTGGGGAGCTCTGCTAGAAACTCCCCCAAACATGTTAGTACCACGCTTATGATTTTTCTTTAAAAAAAATTCTTTTAGTTGACTTTGAAAGCCCTTGAATGATTCTGGTTAGAAATCCCATTGTTTAACTTATGCTTATCCATAGTGTCTATTAGGAATCAAAATATATTTTATGGGTAAAATTTTATGTATGAGTGCTTAGTGACTCAAAAGCGAATGATATAAATAATCTACGATCAAAACAATATAAAATTACTTTATATTTAAGTTTTAACTTAGAGCGACCACATTGTGGAAATAGAGGGGGTCTTAAGCCTCCTAAGTAGTCTATATACATTGTGGGAGTAGTATTTATAGCGGACTTTTGGTTGAGCTACCCTTATGGCTAATGCCTAGCCATAAGGAATAAAAAACAATTGTTCATCTCTCTCCTCTAGCACACTCTTCTCTCTTCATTGCTTGCCGCCATGGGAAAAGGGAGGAGGGCACCTGTGAGCCATTGCCGCTGCTGCAACCTCCTCCTGCGGTCCACGCCGTCGCAACCTCCTCTTGCGAACCTGAACCACCATGACCGTTGTGGCTTGATCCCACAGGCCGCCATTGCCATGACCTCCTGCGAGCGCTTAGGCCACCACCGCCGCTGCTTCACCTCATCCCGTGGGCTGCGGTCGTCACGACCTCCTCCTAGATGTAGCCGTTGTCACCACGACCTAGCTCCTTCCACTGCTAGATTTGTGAGTTGTGTCTCTCTTGTTCGGTGGAGAAGAAGAGATTGAATGGGAAGATAAAAAGAAGTGGTTGAGATGGTAAAAGGTGGGTCCGATCTTAACACCTCTCGTAGTCATATACATTCTAATATAAGTGCTGTAGCTCAATGAGGTCTATGTGTGACTTACCTTAAGACCCATTTAAACATTATACACTGCTCATGTCCTTATAAGTATATAAACGAGACGAGGAATATAAGAGGCTATTTGAATTGGATGTGACTAGGTAGAGCACGGCAGTGCGTTAGTCCTAATCGGAAACCATTCTATCCAATATATAAATCCTCCTTTAGCCTATGGTACATATCTTTTTTTAACCTTTTTAATGACTTATATATTTTAAATCACATATTATTTTTAAGATTTATTTACATCATTGTACTCTACTCAAAATATGTGACAAAATGAGATCCATGTTGAATATATTCTAACATTTTATTAATTTAAAAATAATTTATTTGAATTGTAAAAGTTACTTAGCTATGCAATAGAAGCAACTCTCTATAACATTAGAAGAAATTACATTCTGATTGAGTTGAAGTAAGAAACTATGTGGAGTAAATCCACAAGCAAAGTGTAGAGAAGATTTTCAAGTAAATACATTTATAAAAGTAAAACCAATAAAGTTTGAAAGTAATTTGCATAAATCATAAAAGTAACTTAACTTAAAATGGAAGTAAGTCGTTACAACATTAGAAGTAAATTCGTTATAGGGATAAAAACATGAGTCTATCTAGAAATTAAGTTTAACCAACATAAAATATAAAATTGGCTAAAAACAGTAATAAAAGTAATCAGCTCAAAGAATTATGAATGTATAAGAAGTAATTTAATCAAATCCAAAAGTAATTTATATATATGATAAAAGTAACTTACATATATAATAAAAGTAATTTACAAATATAAATATTTTTATCATAAAAATATTCATGTAAGATCTTGTTACAAAGATTTAATTATAACGAACACAATGGTACAATCAGATTATGGATCAGATAAGTAATTTAAGAAAACTTTTATAAGAAGGAAAAAAAGATATGTATGACATAATAACAAAGAAGATATGCATGTCTATAGATGTATAGTAGTACTTATCTGATGTATGTGACATCTTCTATCTCTACTTATTATAAAAATTGAAGATGTTTTAGCCAATACTTTGGTACGTCATCCGTGTATAAGTCAGTTTTTAACCGTATTGGAAAATACATTTCATTTTCTTTTGGAAATGCAGATCCGTATTTGAGTCGGATTTCAAGTTGTTCACTTTTAGAAATACATAAGGTCGTATAAGAAATCTTTCAAAACAACTTGTATGCTAACTTACATGATTTCCTAAAAAATATATATATCCAAGCGAATTCTGATAGTGTATTTCACAGTAAATAATAATAAGATTAAAATAACTTTTACCCGTTATAATGCATGGATATTTTTTCTAGTTAAGACTAAATAGAGAGGCATTTCGATTTAGATTTTACCATTTGAATTGGAGCACAGGAGTATAAACCACACGCTTTCCCTTCTTGCACGACAAGCACATGTCAACGAAGAGGAAACGAAACGGACACAACTACCCTTGCCTTCATTGCCAGAACACGTTAAACCTACTAAGGGTAGAACGGTCTTTGTCCACAAATATCCCCACTCCAGCTTTTCCCCCAAAACCCTTCCAGACCCTTCGCCGCCGCGAAATCTTCGCCTCCGATTTTCTTCTCTTCTCTTCTTCTTCTTCTTTCCCTTCTCTTCTCCGCCGCCGACGACCGAATAAGGAGAGTAGAGGAGAGAGAGAGAGAGACAGAGAGATGGCTGCGGCGGCGCGTCTCCTCGCGCGTATCTCGAGGCAGGGCGTGGCCTCGGCCGCGGCGGCGAGGCGGCAGGCGGAAGCGGCGGCGCTGCTCGGCGCTTCGGCGGGGCGGCACTTGGCCCCGCCCTGCTCTTCGATCAAGGTGGGGGTGGGGGTTTCGATTCCCTCGTCTGAGTCGGATGGAGCGATGTGTGTGTGTGTGTCGTCGTGCTTTTTTTTCGAAGGGTTAAGCCGTCGTGGGGTTGCTAATCTTGGTGCGAGATTAGGGTTTTAGAGATGCATCCGTCGATTAAGTTGCTTTTTTTTTTGTTCGGGTATCCTGTGCGTGGAAAACTAGGGGGAGCATTGGGGTTCTCTAAGGTTTTTGATTTAATCTAAACTCGATTCGCTATTGATGGGTTTTTTTTAATAGAATTTAAGTTTGATTTTATATACAAGTTCTTTGTGCTATTTTGTCCTAATGTTTTCTTTGTTGGGCAGCTGAGGTACTGGTTAAGATCGATTGATGCATGATTTGCGCTAAACTTAAAAACTTAATTTGCTCAGTAGCTCGTGTTCATACGTTGTGGGAATACTGCGGTGTTTCAACTGGGGATACTTAATAACAGTACAAAATTTGCGAAGTACCAATTAATGCTCAATTCTCATTAGTAACGTGTTGCTGATGACATAACGATTTCTGATAGCCTTTGGCATAAGCTAGCTATTAAAATCTAAAGCTGGAAGCAGCCTGTTATGTTGATTCATCGGCTCATTAGGTGTTTCAGGCATAATAAGCTGACACCATCCATTGTATTTGTAGCATTGCTCAGGGTATTCTTGTTTGGTCTTGTTTTTCATCTTCCGGACTGTTGGATAATTTTTCCCTTTTTTCTACGCTCAGGCCTTGCCTCTGCTGAATCAGCCGAGGCTGTACTCAACTTCAACCTTTCAAAGGTTTGGGTTTTCATCTTCTGCTCCCCAGCAAGATGATAAGGCAGCAAATAAACAGACAGAGGATGGAGTTAATAAAAGCACTCAATCTGAAGCTTCAAATGAAACCAATAGTTCTCCTGGAACCGAGAATGCATCTCAAGCAGGTTCACAAGATTCTGTGCCCCAATCTAACAGGAGGAGGAGAGGTACTAAACGAACTGCATTTTCTGATTCAGATACAGAAGACCTTGACCTGTCAAAGGAGGACCTGACAAAGCTAGTTCTGGAGAAAGAAGAATTGTTGAAATCTAAGGATGAAGAAGTTAAAGACATGAAGGATAAAGTTTTGCGCAGCTATGCAGAGATGGAGAACGTCATTGCGAGAACAAAGCGTGAATCAGATAATGCAAAGAAGTATGCAGTACAGGTCTGTATTCTATGTCTGGTCATGATTTTTTAGAATCTTGTTTTACTTTGGAAATGAGCTCACGTCTATTCATCCCTGTAGGGCTTCTCCAAGAGCTTGTTAGATGTTGCAGACAATTTATCTAGGGCATCATCTGTTGTAAAGGAGAGCTTCTCAAAGATAGATACATCTAATGAATCTGCTGAAGCAGTGAAGCTACTAAACACCCTATTAGAGGGTGTTGAGATGACCGAAAAGCAACTTGGGGAGGTATTTCAACAACTTTCCATGCATTGGTCGTAACAACTGTGAATTGGAATTATGGTCCCTGTCTTAATGATTATATGCTGCCAATGATTTAGACATTATCATATCTTTTGTTGGTAACATGCATTCAAACTTATTTTGATCCTGTTGCTTGCGTGTTTACACAAATTTACATCTTTATGCAGCAAAAAGGCAATAACATTTAATGTGTGCAGGTCTTCAAGAAGTTTGGAGTGGAAAAGTTTGATCCACTTAATGAGAAATTTGATCCAAATAAGCATGCTGCGCTTTTCCAAATTCCTGATCCTTCAAAACCATCAGGAACTGTTGCGGCTGTTGTGAAGGTATGCTCTTCCGATAATTTTGGTATAGGGTTTTTACCCCCTTTCTCTTCTGAAATAAGAGCTCATTCAAGTCCGGTACTTAACCTCAATGTTTGTTGGTTTAAAGTTGCCTATTTGTATATCACATTCTATTATAGTTATGTCGATCAAATCACTTGATAGAGTTTGTCTAGGCTGCAGAATGAGATGAAATACAGAGATGATAATAAATTGTTTCATGTGCATATCATTAGTTAAGATAACAATGAGGAAAGTACACTGCAACAGCCTAAGAATGACTTAAAAGTCTGTATTTTTAATACTAAGCAAGGTTACTTCCAATATTACACCATCAGAATAACATTAAGTGGATAGTCTATCCTTAAAACTGCATAAGTATATGTATGGAGGTATGTGTAGTAAATAACTCAAGGTAGATGAGGATTTTTAATAGCCGGTTGCTTTCTGTTATTCTATTATTTAAACATGGCTCACATTTGTAGCTCCTTTATTCATTTTCTGTTGGGATTTTGTCTGCCGGTATGCTTCTTTCTGCTAAAAGATGGCACCTGTTAGGAAACTACCTCTATTACTAGGAGTACATACGGGCAAGGTTTACAGAGCTAATGCTAGTCAATGCATATTATACTCTTAGTTTAGGACAAGTTTGGTTACCAGGGAACCATTGCGTATTTCAATTATACATTTTTATCTTGTCCTGATGCCCCCACAGCTCCTGGTGACACTTTGATCTGTTTAAAGATGAAATATTACCAAGGCAATCGAAACCCCAGAAATTCCTAATGGGAATGATCCAAAGTGATTCCCTGGACAACCAGCCCAGATTTCTACTTGTGCACCAATATCTTCAGTCCTCCAATGCTGCTACCTTGATAGTACTGGTAACAATTTCTTTTCTTTTTTAGGTGGGCTACATGCTACATGATCGTGTTCTCCGTCCTGCGGAAGTTGGTGTCACTGAAGGTGGTCCAATTGAAGAGGAGCCGGAGGAGAAATCTGACAAGTCAGATTAAGTTAGATATCGACTTGTCCTTCAGGGATTTTTCTAGGCAGCCAGACAAGTGCTTCGCACTTGCATGAAAACATTACGGTTCTTTGGAACTTCGAAGGGCATGGCAGACACAGTTTTGCACTAATGTATCAACCGATCAACAATTTTCCCGTTTTAGTTGGATAAGCCGATCCATAGGTTACTTGTTTCAAGGATATTTGTAATACGAAATGCCATTTTGCTGTGATGAGCGTCTTCTTTTTACCTTTCTGTTTGATATAATTTAGTGCAGACTCCGTCCCTTTCTATTGATCCAGGCATATCCAGCCATCACTGTGTAATAAAAAAAAAGCCATGTCCATGTGTACGCCTGAAATGGCAATTTGTAGTCAAATTTCTCTCTCCTTACTTGCATAAAACAATTGTTTGCTCGGACTGATTTTATGCCCTACAGGAAATAAATGGATCAACCGTCCATTCGATGATCTATCGAACCGTTTCATCATGTGATAAACCTTGAGCTCGATCTTTCGATAAGTTGAAAGATAACTATGATTTGAAAGAAACGTTGACAACCTGATACAACCATACAAGATGTTAGTGTTGCGTCTTTGCGATCGATACACCTTATCGGTGCAGATCAACCTTATTCCTACGAAACAAACAAGAACAAAATAAAAACAATATGATATTGTAAATAGCTCGATGAGTTATTGATCTTGCCGGTGTAGATTAATCTTATTCTCACAAGCAAATCGAATAAACAAGCTAGAACAAAATAAAAACAATCTGATATTGCAAATAGGAATTGAATACACACGATAAGTTGGGTTCCGAAGACGAACAGACGGGCGTGTCGATCTATGAGTTTTGGATCTTGCCGGTGCAGATCAACTTTATTCTTACAAGCAAATCGAAGAAACAAGTAAGAACAAAATAAAAACAATTTGATATTACAAATAGGAATTGAATACACACGATAAGTTGGGTTCCGAAGATGAACACAATTGAATACACACGATAAGTTGAGGTTTTGAAGCCGAACATACAAGCGGTCTAGTCGACATGTGCGCTGCAAGCAAGTAGCTATGACTAAACTTTAATTTAAACAAAATCATCTAAATAGAATCCGAGAAATCCTAAAGAGGTGGTACTTACTATTTAAGGAGACAGGAGGATGACCTAGGGATCTATTTAAGGAAGTGGGAGGATAACCTAGGGGTCCGTCGTGCCCCACCTAATTGGGGCGCACCTACATGGGCCCACTGGGTGCTCCACCTGATTGGGGCGCACCCACATAGGCTCACTGGGTCTAAGTCCCAGAAGAAGTGAGTTTTTTTTGGAAATAATATTATTTTAATGGAAAATCGCAAAATTATAGGTCAGTTAGACGAAATCGCAAGTTTAGCACCCTGTCGAACGGAGGCAGTTCGAAAGGGTACCTGTCGAACTGCCCCAGTTCGACAGGTAATAAAATAACTTAAAAAAAGGAAAAACACTGTAGCGCACTGTAGCGCACACTGTAGCGGCACTGTAGCGACACTGCCTATCGAACTTCCGCTGTTCGATACGTCCATGCCACGCGCCCTATCGAACTCCCCCTGTTCGATACGTCCCTATCGGGCACTGTAGCAAGTACTTTTTTATTTTTTTTCTTGGACAACTAGCCTGTCGAACTGCCCCAGTTCGACAGTACCCTGTCGAACTGCCCCAGTTCGACAGGGGTACCTATCGAACTGCCCCAGTTCGACAGGGCGCTAAACTTGCGATTTCGTCTAGCCGACCTATAATTTTGCGATTTTCTATTAAAATAATATTATTTTCAAAAAAAATTCCAGAAGAAGTTACAAGCCCATAGATGGAATTTAGCGATGATGTTAGATCCGTTGGAAAGAGCTTTCCATTAAGTACTTATTATGGATCCAAAACGAAGCATATATATACATTTTGCGGCCATTTGAAGTCAGTACTATAGCAGACGGCTGAATTAGATTCCAGCACTTGTACAACTTGATCTTGATGTGAACAATGGTTGTATTAATGGTAGCCATGATCATATCATCATATCCTATTGAACGGCCAAATGTTTTTTTTTTATAGATAGACTCAATGCTACATTTTATTTTATAGATAGACTCAATGCAACATTTTATGATAAAGCGATAAACCATTACTAATACGGATGTTTTTACGTTCATTTAAAACGATTGCGCAGCACTTAATTCAGAATCAGAAAAGCAACAAAGCATGCTACTAGTACAATCACACTTCAGATTTCAAAAAAAAAAAAAAATCATAGAAACTCTGATCAGTGCCACTGCCTACAATCTACAGTCACTGCTGTTCTCTCGTCACTTGCCTTTACCCTGCAATTACACGTTGCACTACTTTCTTTCTTAAATCATCTTTCACACGTACTACATTTACTTTCCTACACTAGAATTGGCAACTCCAGAGTGGAACGCACAAAAGTGTAGTATGAAACATTACCAGTCATGCAGGGACTTGAAGATGAACATAAAACTACTACTTTTCAGATGTTCAACAGACCGAGAAAATTTTGACTTAATAATGTTCAGTTCAGACATTTTACTATAGCTGGTCCTGTAAGCTATCGTGTTGAATTGCCTCTAAATATGACAATATGTCAAGAAAGTTTGCACAATAGGCCCAAAGGCAGATAGTAAAGAATCCAAGGAATAAATGAAGCAGCCGGTTACATTCTCATCTCAAGGTCAGGAGCTACAGATTTCCTCTTCAGCCTATTTTCTGTGTGTGTGTTGTTTTCAGCATCTTGTTCTTCAGTATCAATATCATTGTCTCCGTCAGGGTCCTTCAGACCCAAGTTTAAATTTAGGTCGGTTCCACCGCCATTTTTGCCAGAATATCGGGCCTCATCTGATGCCTGAAGGACGTGGAGGAAAGATCAATGACAAAGAAACGTGTAAAAATGTGTTTGTACAATGGTTGACAAGAAAACAGTCAAGCAGAATAATTAAAAAAGGGAACGTCTAGTCAATAGGGAAAGAAAATATCTCACTAAACAGGAGAAAAAGATTCATAGTCAGCAAAGTCATAGTCTGAATGCCTTGGCTGCTTACTATTCACCAAAAAATGGGGGCAGATAATAAAATCGAGTTTAGATCAAAAAAGAGGTTTCAATAAGGTACCAAGCAAATATTATGCATGAGATTATAACAACAATTTGTACTATAACATTGCTTGCATGCAAACAATCATGGCAACAACAGGATCAAAACCACATGACAAAGGTTGTCACAAACCGTATAATTGGCACTGGTTTATATTAGAAAACGGTGTAGCAACAATGTGAATGCTAAGTGACATCTTACCTGAGATTCATCCATTGGTGTATCATTAATATTAGTTTTTCCATTAGATGGCTCAGTTTCGGCGGATGATGGTTCTCCATCATTTGCCTTATTTTCATCGTCAGATTTTCCAGATTCTTGCCTTTCATCTTCAACTACAGAAACCTGCCAAACCAGAATCAGCAAATATACATAAACAAGCATTGGAGAAGATGGTGACACACTATTCCTCAAAAAAGTAGATTTGTTCTCAACAAAAATGAACCAACTTATGAGGAAATTTCAGCACACGAACACGAGTGAGCCTATAGAATCCAAGAGCTTTTCATGATGAGTACTAGAATATAGTGAACTTAGTAATATTGGCACTAGAATACAATAGAATGAAAAAACTAGCAAACGACTGTTGTAAGTTTTAAGAAGTAAGCCTGCAAGTATACAAATGAACATCCAAGACTAAACCTGATGCAACACCTATTCAGAAGGATGGTAAACTGTTCCACTTCTTTTCACTCAGTGGCAGCCCGCAGCCCATTAATTAAAGTGGTTTGCCATATTCGTGTCGACACAGATATAGCTTAATTGCAGTAGTTTTGGCCTGTTTAGTTGGTGAAATGAAAATTTTTGGGTGTCACAACCGGATGTCAGAAGGGGTTTTCGGACACGAATGAAAAAACTAATTTCATAACTCACCTGAAAACCGCGAGACGAATCTTTTGAGCCTAATTAATCCGTCATTAGCACATGTGGGTTACTGTAGCACTTATGGCTAATCATGGCCTAATTAAGCTCAAAAGGTTCGTCTCGCAATTTACATGCAAACTGTGCAATTAGTTTTTCTTTTTATCTATATTTAATGCTCCATATATGTGTCCAAAGATTCGATGTGAGGTTTTTGGGAGAAGTTTTTGGGAACTAAACAAGGCCTTTGTTGTCCCTTGGGATTTTCTTTAGATTCGTGCTGATTTACCGTGCATGTGTGCTACAATTGTTTTGATTGCCAAGTCTGCAACCCTTTTGTTGAGCTGCATGCCTCTGCCTGCTGGCTGCTGCCCCACCGTCCACAAGGGAGGAGCATGACCATCTATCTAACCATGAGGAGTCTAGACCATGAGAAAGCAGTGTGCATGATCAGGACCTATTCACCAGTTATGCTATCAGGATCTATGATACTCTACCAATTTTTCCAATTATATGCTATGAGCCTATGATAATCCACCAGCTTTCCCACTGAGATGAATAAATATTTAATATGGTCATTATTAAGCAGTGATAAAGTTGAATGGACAAGATTGTGGAAATAATTGGTAACCGGAGTTCTTCTAGACTTATACTGGTCCCTCTTGGTTGGATTACATTGTATATATGATGGATTTACGCTGTAATTTATCTAACAAATAATTTGTAGTTTTACAGTTCTTTCCATGATTATGTTAGTCTATTTTGAAATTCACATAAAAATTCCAAAATTTACAGTATCTATGAAATTTACAATAAGTGCTTATGGATTTTTACCGTAAATAGAATATTTTCAATTTATACTGCTGTTTTTGGATCTTTGTTTCATGAGCTGATGTCAGTAGTTTAGTAGTTTACTTGTTACTTAGATAGTTTAATGCTGAGTTTCTTGCTGCTGTAATTAAGTCCCGCGCACTTCAATGCATCGCATACACTTCATCGGACTGTAGTGTAAAAGGAACAACTGGAAATCATGAAGAATTATGTCAACGATAGTACTATGAATAGTCCCAATTATAGTTGCAGCCTTGAGGGTGCAGCCCAGATCTGTTCTCATTAACCAAGAACATTAGCTATCCTGTTTGATAGCACCCCCACCATAATGCTTACTGCACTAATCACCAACTAGTTCGAAATTACTGTACGTAATGAAACAATCTATAGTTATAACCAGGGATATCCTAAGCACTAACCTAATTACACCAAAACGCTACAAATTGTACAGTTACTAGACTCCTAACAAACAATTATTTTCCTTGAGTTAGCCAAAATACAATTCTCCAACATATTTGGGGACCTGATGTTCATAATCGTTTTTCAAACATACGAACCCTAATTCTTTTCAAACCGTCAATTCAAAAGCGTCAATTCAATTAATATTCCACAAGAGCTCGCATCAACCAAGATCCAGAATTATCCAATCATCTAAGCTGCCAGGACCTACACAAGCAAGCAAAGATCCAATCCGGACACCAAATCGAACCCTCGATGGCCCAAGGAATATACCGAGAAAGCACAAATCCCAAGAATCAAATCGAGAGTCCTCACCGGCACGTACCGCCGCCGTTTCGTGGCCTTCTCCTCCTCCGCGGCGGCGGCCGCCGCCGCCGCCTGGTCTCCGTCTCCTCCGCCCCCGTTGCCGTTGGCGCCGTTCATCGGGGTCCACTTGAAGAGCACGAGATTGTTCCCGCGGGATCCGGCCCCCGCCGTGGAGGAGGCGGCCGACGCCGCCGCCGCCGCCGCGGCGGCGGCGGCGGCGACGGGCACCCAGTCCTTGCGCCACTTCCTGACGGGCCCCGTGAACGTCGTCGTGGTGCCGTAGCGGGCCGAGGTGCGCCCGAGCCGCGCGCCCACGCCCTCCATGGCGAACGGAGTTCTTCCCTGGCTGTGACGGCGGCGGCGGCGGCGGGCGGCGACCGGCGGCGAGGCGGGTAAAGGAGATCTGAGGCCGAAAGGGGGGTGTGGTTTTGCCTGCTTATTATGCTAACGCGTCGCTGACGGGTGGGCCTGGATTTCTGACACCCCGGGTAATAAATCCGCGTACGGTGACTTGGGAAACAGTCGGCCGTCTCACCCGTTGGATTTCATTTGGACGGCGCGGATTTTACCGTCCCGCGTTGACGCGTATCCTGTGTAGAGTTTGCACGGCGACTCGCTCGTTTCATCGGTTCCGGCTCTTCTGAAAGTTTGGGCTCAAAAATTTGCACAGCACTAGAGTAAGAGCAGGTACAATAGCAACCTATAAACCAGTTATAAAATTTTAAAGAGACTAGCAAAATGCCCGTGCTTCGCTACGGGTATAATAAAAGGTTAAATGCTATAAATACACAATTAACATGTATATAATAATGTTCCAAAATAGATAAATTATTCAGTGGGTTAATGATAATCAGGACTGATAAGAAACACTATTGCATATTGATATACTCATATTTTCATAACATGCACTCTCTCTCAACTCTTGCATGGCAAGCGCCTAATATAATTATTTCTAAAATCGAACATGGACTTGCGTGGAGATGAATCGTTTTCACGGCTCATGCGTGGACGATAGATGGTGCGGACTCTAATATGTCGTGTTTTGCAGATGACGAAAAGAAAAAAAAATATGTTTAATTTTCAAATTAAAAAATGGTTCATTATAAGATTTCAGAATCACTAAATATCTTTTGAAGAAAGAGGTGCAAAAACTTCTGATTTTTTAGCCATCGGATTCATGGTAAGCGCTTGATATAATTTCTAAAATCGAACACGGACTTGCGTGGAGACGAATCATTTTCACGGCTCATGTGTGGACGATAGATAGTGCGGACTCTAATATGTCATGTTTTGTAGATGATGAAAAGAAAAAAATAATTATGTTTAATTTTCAAATTAAAATCTGGTTCATTATAAGATTTATCACTATCTGTTGAAGAAAGAGGTGCAAATAGATGGCGCGGACTCTAATATGTCGTCGTGTTTTGCAGATGATGAAAAGAAAAATATAATTATGTTTAATTTTCAAATTTAAAAGTGGGAGGGAAAAGTAGACTTATTCTGAGTAGGATTTGAGCTGTGGGAGGCAAAGTAGACTTATTCCGAGCAATGATTTGAGATATGGGAGGCATCGTAGACTTATTCCGAGCAATACAGCCTAGGAAAGGTGAAGTAATGAGATGTGGGAGGCACAGTAGACTTATTCGGAGCAATATAGCCGTGTATAAAAAGGAGAGATGATGGGAATCGAACCCTGGTGGGCAAATTGAAAATTTTCTCTCCACCAACCAGGCGGGCAAGCTACTTGTGATTGATGGATACATGACTGATACATATCATATATTAAGCAAGGTTTTGGAGTAGATTGGAAAATTTCCGACCGACTATTAAGCGGATTAAAACGTATTTTGGCAGGAAACCGCCGACGGACGAAAAAAACCTCACGGAAGCCTTACGAATTTTTTTATTAGGTATAGATAAAGAAAGAGATAGAAAAGTAGCGGTGCAGTACGGATTCCAAGATGTAATTTATGTATGATAGGTGGGACCAGATATTAATAGTATACTATGAATTGACTATTACATAAGAGTATAGAGCACTTTAAATAGTATATTACATAAAAGTATATAGGCTCTGTTCGGGAGTGAGGGTCACTCTCCGACACGCAAAACGAAGCAGTGGTTTAGCGCGTGATTAATTAAGTTTTAGCTATTTTTTTTAAAATGGATTAATATGATTTTTTAAGCAACTTTCGTATAGAAACTTTTAAAAAAACACACTGTTTAGCAGTTTGAAAAGCGTGCGCGTGAAAAACGAGAAAGAGGAGTTGGGAACTTGTACTGCCGAACGGAGCCATAGAGCACTCTTATTTGAACAGTGAACGTTTGTGTCACTTATTATTGTTAATGTTTTAGTACTGATCTTTTTACTTCGGACTGAATAATTTTACAATTTTTATAATTAAGGGTTATTTTGGTTTGATGTCAAAATATGCCTTACAAAATTGATAGCACTTTCAATAGTATTTTGGCTAACAAAACATGCCAATCATCACACACAACTTACCAAAAAATTAACAATATCAAAATTTGCCTAGGTATTGACAGTACCAATATTTTAGCATGGTAACTAAAATTCTAAAATTTTTCAGATTTTGACAATTCAAGATAGGTGTTAGAGTATATGGCAGCTAGACTTATATTAGGATAGGATTGATTTATTTGGATTCATTCCATATCTGTAATCATTTCTTATCTCTTCTCCTTTGTACTTCTATATATATCGGCCCCTAAGGCTCGATACAATGTATCCACGCTACGCAGTATATCTCTCTCCCTCCTATACTATCCAATATGTTATCAGAGCTAAAGGTCTCAAGTTCGAATTCTGGCTGGCGTGCAATTAAATAAAAAATTGCAGCCCACTTCTATCCCACGTTGGAGGCTTGAAAGGGCCTCGCATGTCATGCCCAGAAATTCCCGAATAGAATTCCAAGCAGAATGTGCATTAAAATCCCCGTCCAGGACCGGCCGGGGTATACAAATGACAATGTTGACATTCAGATTCACGTCTTACAAACATCATAAAAGTCTTACATAAATGCAGCGGAAAAACGAAAGACAACAGGAGCTAAGCCTTGACTAGAACTGCAGCGGGAACACCACTCCACAGGCATCCTCGACGGCACGGACGAAGCCTACTCCTCGGAGAAACCTCCATCTGACACATACTCGTACTCTGGGGTTGGGGAAAAAATAGAGCAAGACTGAGTACTACCCACTGTACTCAGCAAGTCATACCGGAATAGGGGTATGATGCAGGAAATTATCAAAGGAGAGCTAGAGTGGTTCATTTGCATAAAGCAAGCATTTATAAACAGAAGTTGAAAGAATTAAACAGTTGCAATAATTAATTAATATTGATCATCCGCTGTCCAACGCTATCCCACGTTGCAACAGGCCCAACCATCCACCTATACTATCCAATTTCATTAGACTAAACTAGGGTAAGACTAATCACGGTGAATCTGGTTGACCGCCCATAACCGCGGGCACGGCTATTCGAATAGTTTTACTCTGATCAGAGGTGTACAACTATACCCACAAGACACAGCCCCATAACACGTTTCCGTGCGCCGACATGCCACCACGACATACCGGAAAGAGGCCGTGACAGGACCCTTCGCATAACCCCCTCTAACCAAGCACACCACACCTCAGGTTTCACCCCCACTCCTTGCAAAGCAGCGGGCAGTCCCCTCTCGTGCCTAGGTGAATCCAGAAGCGACAGAGGCCGTCGCAGGGCCCGCCCCGCTCCATCACGCCCACCCTTGCCTGGATGCGTCAGCTAGAGGAAAGCTACACTACAAGCCCAGCCGTTGCCCATGCTGGCTTGTGGTAAGTATGATAAGTTCTTCCAGGGCATCCCGCGAACCGGTCCTTAACTGCCATGGGTGCGACTAGCAGAACCATGCACCCACAGCCCACCATGTGATTCATTTTAATTGACCAACACCAAAACGGTGGTACTAAACCAACCTTACCAATTGAACCTAAAGTCTATATTTTAGTGAGCTTTCCCCATTGTGTGCTAGTGGAACTAAGCATGGCTAAGCAATTCCTAGTCCAAAATCTATTCATGTTATAACCCAAGCTAACAAAGGAGCATGGTATCAAAAATGGCATGGCTGTAACAATAGGTAAACACCCCATAGTAACATTATAAAACAATGCAATATTTGAAGAAAAACAATAGAGCATTTGCAATATAGGATCAACATGTTCAAGTGACAAGCATGACTTGCCTTGCTCTGCTGCTGGAGAAACCTCGGCGACTATCTCGAAGTACACCGGAGCGTCGGAAGAACCGGAATCTAGCGACATACAAGGCAAACATTGCAAACAGGCTATAAGACTACTGAAACAGAGAACAAAACCATTTTTAATGGATTCTACACATTTTTCTTGATTTACTGAGACTTGAATGGGCTTAAACGGAGCACAGATGAATTAGTTATGAATTTTAGAAGATTCACTGTGTTTATTACTATAAAAAAAGTCCTTAAATCATTTATTGCGCAATAATTCCCAGGGCTGACGTCATCAAGGGGGGGCGCGGCGCCGACATGCGGGGCCCACCGGTCAGCGGCTCGGGAGAGAGGGAAAAGGTGCGCCGGCAAGCGGGCCCTACTCGGCAGCGGCTCAAGGGAGGGTGGTCCACCGTGGACCGGGACCACGTGGGTGGTCCACTGCCGGTCCACGGGACCGACGGCCCAGATCGCCCCCGGGGTTGATCGGACGGGCGGCGGCGACCCGGCTCGGCTCGGCTCAAGGCCGGCCGACCGGCCACGGCGATGGCGATGGCGCGCGCGCGCGAACGCGTTGCCGGCGACGGCGCAAAGGCGACGCGAAGGCGGCGGCGCTAAGCGGCGGCTAGGAAGGAGAGGGAGGGGAATAGAGGGGAGAGGAAGCCTCACCGAGGGTGGCCGGCGCGGAGGAAGACGACGGCGAACGGCGACGGCAAGCCACGGGAGGACGACGGCAACCGGCGGACGGGCTTCGGGGTGCCCTAAGGAAGGAGGAGAGAGAGATTAGAGAGAGGGAGATGAACCACGGCGGCCGGCATCCACGGCCGAAGGCGGCGGTAGAGGTAGAACTCACCGGAGCGCGAGGGGATGCGAATTCCGGCGATGAATCCCGACGGAGGAAGGGCGGACGGGGTGGAGTTCGTCCTTGCGAACCCGACGGCGGCGACGGCGCGGTGCGGCGGCGAGCCTAGCGGCGGCTAGCGGCGGCCGGAGCGGCGGGAAAGGCGGTGGCGGGTGGGTGCACGGCGTGGGAGCGATGGGGAGCACGAGGGAGTTCGGCGAAATGGGGAAAAAGAGAGAGGGGGCGACGGCGGAGCTTAAATAGGAGAGGGGAGTCTCGAACGTGGCCGGTAGGGGCGAGATTCCGCCGGCCAACGTGGGGGAGTGGGAGAGGAGAGAGAGAGGCAGGATTCGAAAATCGAATCCCGGCCATCTC